AGCATATGGTTAACAATTACAGAAATATTTCAAAATGTACTAAAAATTTTAAATCTTCACAATCTAATCATTGAAAGTAGTTCTAATACCACATATCACTCTCAACATACAATTACTCTGTCATCTTCTGTGGAAGACAATTTCCTGTGAGCTCTCCTATGCAATGAAAATCCATAAATCACATGCCAAAACCCTGAAAAATGTGCTCTTTCTTGAAAGGGTATTAACCCAAGGACTTGTGTTTTAAGGAACATTTTCTTTTAGTAATTAAAGCAATTACTTTTGCAAAATGATATAAATGAAGAAGGAAACTATGCCAAAGTTGTAGAAAAGTAAATATTTTTTTCAAAATGTTTTGAAGCAAGGGAAGTAGAACGGGGCAGAGGGGTAAAAACCGAAATGTTCATATTACATGCATTTTTCATATAAACCACCTATCTGTCTATTCACAATACTGAATTCCCATTCATCAAATGAAGAATATCAGGAAATGAGATGAAGTGTTCTAATAAATTTAAATAGTGCAACAAAAAGAGTTCCTTTTAATTAAGATTCATACTTTGAAGAGGATAAGATGATCAGGGACATTTGAAAAGCAGGTTGTGAGGGAGGCTCCAGACATTGCTTACCTGTTTCATTTATAGATTGTCAGAGAGGTTCATGTGTGTGTGCTTTTCTTCAACTCTTACCATGTTTATTTGTGTGTTCCTTCCTAAGGTCTAAGCTGTCCCTTTTTTTTTTCATTTTTAATCTCTATACTTGTATTTTTTAATTGTAATTGTATTTTATTTTCTTCTTGCTTCTACAACAAGCTGAATTTACTGGTGCTGTTTTTTGCTAATCAACATTTTTTTCATATATGAATATACTCATGCCATAAAATTGTTGAAGTAGATGACCTATAAGGTCTTTGTACTGCCTTAAAAACTAGGTGTTTTTTTTTTTTTTTCTGTTGTTCATAATTATTTGAGTGGATATTTATTTGACTAAATTTCAGTTTGGAAGGGGAACACATTTGAAATTAGATATGCCTCATTTCAATCTAAGTTACTTTACTAATATGTGAAAAAATATAGAAACGTTATTATATTTTTTTCTCAGCTTAATTATTTGGGAATATTTAACTAATGTTTTAAAATTTTGTTGAGAAGGGGATAGTGTTTACCCTTCGTGCACGACAAGGTTTAATAAAGGAGTATCTTCATTGTCATTCTAAGCATTTACCTTTACACTGGATATAATTAGTTGAAACTTGTATCTGAATATCTGTGCATGCTGTGACAAATTGAAGTAACTTGTAGATGTATATCTTTGTTCAGATATGGAAAATACAGTGACAGGAGAAAGGAAATTATGATTCAGATTCTCTGAGTTTTTGTCTCCAAATGACTATACTATAAAGTATGCATTGTATTGTAACTGTTTATTATGTCATGTAGCTAATAGGCTGATAATTTACTTTTCCCACATTTTTATATGTGAAGAAGCTATAGCCCTTATCATTACAATCAGGAAATGTAAGAAACAGAGATAAACATACAATTCATGGTGAAAACTGATGTCCAACGTCACTGTAAGGCATCATGATATGTGACCATGAGGATGTAATAATTTAAATGATACCTATTAAGCAGAGATTTGCTCATTATTCAAGCCAGAATTTTAAACAGGCTACCCTATGCTCCAGTTATATGAGTAGCTGATTCTCCTTGGTTAGAATTGAACTTTTCTAATTTCTCTATTGAAGTATTTCACCTCATTAAAGTGTAGATCAATGGTATACTGACTTCAGTACTGCAGTCTTCAGAAGGAAATGTTAAGAGAAACAATGGGGCTGGCTGAGTGCAGCCGGAGCAGGAATGCACAGCGAGTATTAGCCATGCTGGCAGCTGTGACACATCTGTCCCAGACAGCATTTATGTTTCAAGGAGCTGAGCAAATCACCTTAATTACGTTCACAACTTTCTTTGGAAAAGGGGGCTGGTGTCAGAGAGAAGATGGTCATTTTTTTCTTTCTACATTGTAGAAACCCACCCAGGTCACAGTTCCACTTTAAAAGAAGTAAAATTAACTGAAACAAGATAATTTCTTTTTTAATCTTCAAAACAAAAAGAATGTTTATTTGTTTAAAGCATTTATTTCATTAGAACATGTAATTTTGAACTGCAGTACATGTCTATATATGTTTGAATGTGTTTTCTTCCCAGATAATTTTATCATGATAGATTTAGTTTTTTATCTCAAAGCCCTGGATAAATTATGGAATCATTTTATGCATCTTAGTTTTTTCTGTTCTCTATTTTCTTTAATTTTCACCTAACAGATTACAGTTTCATGTAGATTGAGGAATAAAATGGGTTTATTATAAAAAGTACAGCTAGTGAGTTAAATACTGAAATTAAGTATGAAACAGAATTATGTGTTCTGAAAATAATATAGCTTCTAAACCAAAGTAAATATTATTTTGAACAAAGTTACCACTTTGGAAGTAGTGTGATTTAGTTGTTTCCATTTATATATTGTTAAAAATTTTTCATCTATTGGAACACTAACTGCCTGTGTATGAAGGAAAGGGGAGGGAAAGAGGGAGGAAAATGTTGGGTAAGGATGTTATTTTGACAAGCCAATTGGTCTCTTACAGGTTCCTGTGGTAGTAATGACATTCTTTGGTAGGGCATCAGCACAAACTGGTCTTTAGCTTTGAGTATCTAGAGTTTAGAATATAGAGATGATGTTCAAGGTTATTTCATTTATATAGAGGGACTTGTTGTCATGTCTTGTATGATACTGATATATAAACAAATATCATGCATATTTCAATATATTTGCTCAAATAGCTTTACCCTTTATGCAACATACTTTCTGACGATACTGCAGATAATCTAATAATAGTAGAAAAGATTTAATATGTAAGGACTAAAAATAGATCATCCAAGAGAGTATTCCATGGATTCTGGATGTAAAAGAATAAATCTTTGCTGTCCTGCAGCCAGTGCTCAGGAGTCCGTGCTCTTCACTTTCTTGCTCTGGGAAATTGCTGGTTGATATTGTTAAATTTCTAACACTTAGATTTTCATCTATTTAAGCAGCTTGTAAAAAGAACATTTTTCTTCAGTTAGTCTGTTACTTTCTTAGATTGGATGCAGTAAAAATTGTGAGATTCACTTATTTAGTTAAAACCAACTCTAACTGATACAACATTAGAATTTTTACCATGATTGTGTTGCAGAATTGCAAAAGACAGGAGAAACTGAATGGGAGTCAGGAGGATTTATTTAAGGTCTATAAAGGTTGAGTGTTGAACAAAGAAAAGTTGCTACATTAGTTTGCAGTCATAACTACTGGTTCATGGTCATTGTTCTCAATTAACCCAGCTGCTACATTCTGTCAGAGCATTTTCCAATTACATGTATCTTTCTCTAAGCAAGAGCTAAAATGCATGAGTCAAGCGTCTTTAGGTATGAGTATATTAATAGGGAACATTCTGTAATGCAGCCTCTCAAGCTGAAGTATGTAATGATAACATCTTTGAACTTATACCATAAACAGTATGCACTTGCCCTTAGCCCTCCACAAAAAAGTCAAGTGAAGTTAGCATTAACAGTGAGTGGTTGAGAGTTCAGACTCTACTCAAGACTGCCTGGGTTTTAGTCTTCATTTCACCACTAAGCCCGGACCATCCATCCTTCAATCTCTAAGGTTAGTGAAAGCAAAAGCATCAGACCCACAATGATGGCCATGTAGCTTATATTGCATTATGCATGAGAAGTCCATGATATGTATAAATGCTAAACAAATGTTACACATGATTATTTGAAAGTGTTAGATATTATTGGTATTACTGTTCCTCAGTATGAATTAATTCAATCCAAAACCCGCATTTATAGTTGAACTGTGTATTGGTTTGTAGTTTACCAAAGTGAAATTTTTTGCTTCTGTTCTTTTAAAAAGCAAAGTTGATTGAGATGAAATTAACAATTGAATTAAGCTAAGCACATGCACCATGTTTAGAATCCTACTTTGGGTAGAATCCCACCTCTGTGTTCTACGAAAACCTCCCCTGGAGTGACCCATTGCGTTCCTTTAGATGGTTCCGTATTCATGTGGGTGTGCTATATGGTAGGAAGTAAAGACTCCCATTATCCATGCCCCAATGGAGCTTCATGGAATTAGCTAACTAAGTATCACCTCCAGAGTGTCTTAACTCGCCTGAGGTGACGTGTTTCCATCACATTCCAGAGCTGGGGCTAGAACTGCACCTGGCCTCAGTCACTGTCTGTCTTCCTTGCAGTTCCGTGCTACCCTTCACCTTCAGCACTTGTGCCTCCCCCCAGGAAATAGTCATTGATTTCCAACATGTATGTCAGGCTCTGTGCTACGTATGTCTACATACACCACAGTGAAGAACGTCAGCTTTTAGGGAACTAGCAGGCAAACTAGGGCAGACACATCCTTGGTATTGGTCAGGTTTCTACATAACAAGAGTGTTTTGTGTTTTCATGTGATAGCACGCTTCAAAGCCAAACTCAGTTTTCTGACAGAGGAAACTTAGTGGCAAGTGTTGAACATTTTGATGTTGAGAGTGATAGGCATGGTGAGGCATTCATGCCCATAAGAAAGAGAATTGTCCTTA